GAAATCTTAATTATTTTGACAGTGAATGTTATTTCTGGCAACTGTGTGTGTTACATGAAGAATGTGCTTCTAGTATCAGGCATTGCCAGCCCCTTTCTGTGACTCATGAAAGGGGACTTAGTGATTCTGGGAAGAGCCAAGTTCCCAGTCATGAGGACAACTGGTCTGTAGAGGAGTGCTTGTCACAGCAGCTGCAGACAATTTGTGTTTCCACCAAAACACCCAGTTTCTCTGTGCAGATGCTGATTTTGCATGTGCTGATTAGGTATTGGTGCTGCTCTGACATTAAAACACTGCAAGGGTGCACCAGTGCAGAGGTGTAAACTGCCTCCAAACCTCAAAGTGCAGATGCCAGTGCAGGCTGGGTTGTGCATGGGAATGTCTGTCATTGCTCATCTCCTCATGTGTTCAGACATTGCTGGATAAACCCTGAGCAACCACAGTTCTCAGTGATGTTATGTCTAAGGGAGGAGGGTGGGAAGTTTTCAACACCAGAGAGATGGCCCTGAAACTCTCATTAACATGAACATGATTGTTTCCTACAGGGAAAGCCTGGAGAACCAGGGCTCCCAGGCCAGGAGGGTGCCAGAGGGTTACCGGTAGGTGCTGCTCTGAAGGGCTCAATCCCCTCACTCCTCTGAACTGTATTCAGGAAGCCTTTGTTGGGCAGATGAGGTCCTTTACTGATGCAAATGTACGCGTGGCATTGTGATTAAATAAATGCATAAATAAGCAACAAAAATAGAACACAGACATTTCCAAATCCTTCACGCTTAGAATAAATCCCTCATATAGGAGTTAAAGCATATAACTTCATGACAATCCCTCTGCCAGAAGGCACAGTCACAGGTGTAGCTGTTGTGTTCTATTACGTCTCCTCTGAAAGAGGGTTAAATAATCTATTGGCTGGTCAAACCAGGGTTACATAGACTAGAGTTTTTGTTTTGCCACCTAAGGAGGTATGGAAAGCTTTCCCTGTGATGTGGCCCTTCCTAATTACTCCCTGTGACATGACTGCTCTATGCTGAGTGGAAACTTTAGGAAAAAAATTATGAAAGTTTCTGAGTAAACATTCAAGATAGAGTTTTATTAGTGTTTCATGTATCAAGGTGATGGATAATTATTGATTTCATTGTCTTTCATAGGGTTTCAAAGGACAAAGAGGAGATATGGGTCCCCCAGGTCCCCGGGTAAGTAACATGTATCTCACGCACCAGAAAGATGGTGAAAAGCAAATTGAAATTGTGCTTTCTGAGGCAATACATGATAAAGCAAAAATTATGACAGTGTTTAACATGGCTGTTTTCAACTACGATTCCATGGGCCACATCTATGGCACAAAATGATAGCAGCCGTCTTCATTCCGTCTGCTGAACTTCTGATTCTGGGTTAGGAGAGGCAGCTGGTAGAGCTGAGTTCTCTGATGCTCCCTTTGACATAGCCCTTTGTGAGGAAGCCTCAAGATGCCTCCATAACACATTCATTTGGTACAAATGCTGACTTACAAGCTGAGGAACCCTTCTGCACTTGTTGGACAAGTACTAGCTCTCCTCCAGAAATGCTGAAGAAGTGCAAAATAAGTTTAAGTACAAAACTTACAGAAATGTGAATAGAAATGTCCCTTTGACTTAGTTACCTGGGGATCATAAACCCCAAACCTCAAGTCCTGCACAAAAAGTTGTTCTCCACTCTGTTTTGAACTTCTTGGTGTAAAAGGTGGAATACAAAACTGAATATTCTTCCACCTAATTCTGCCTTTTTACAGGGAAATAAAATTCTCTGCTTGCAGAGGCTTAGCTGAAAAATACAGTGCTGGAGTTCCTCATCTCTTTCTCATTATGATAGCTTCAGTATCATGAATATGTTGGTGGTTTTCAGTGGCTGCACTAGCAGTAGTAAATAATCTGCTGGAAAGCAGATTATGCACTGCCTTGTGCATCACTTACAGGAGATACTTCTGAGTTATTTTTACAAGCTTCATGTCATATAAGATGAACGAGGCTCTTGCTGGCTTTAAAAAAGTTTTCAGTGAGCTCAGTCCAATATTGCAGAAACCCAATACCAGTTACAGTGGTGATATTGGTCTGAATTTGACCTTGAGCTGATCCCTCTTTCCTTTTTGCTGAATTGCAGGGGGAGCCAGGTGTGATGGGTCCTGCTGGTCGTGAGGGGCCACCAGGGAAGGATGTAAGTTTACCATTTTGAGCAGAAATGAATCTCCTTCTCCTTGAAAAATGAAATTTTTAATTCACAGTGACCCTGACCTGAAACAGCTGCAGAAACTGCAATAAAGGGTGAATTATTGCAGGGAATGATTTGTGCAATGATCATTAGGGGAAACAAAGAATTAGAGGGCCTTTGTCATTGCTCAGCTGCTGACACTAAAATGTCAACTATATATTTGAAAAAGCAGAGAGAGCAACATTGTGTGAAACCCGGGCTATGCTGGGTAGTCATGGACCTGCCTTCTGCCATCCTTCTCCAAGCACTGCTTCATCCTGCAGGTCCCACTGGGCTGAGTTCTGTCACGCTTCCTCTGCCACAGCTGTACCTGACTGAGTGTGCTGCTCCACTGAAATCTATGAAATACCTATGGAATAAGATGCTGCTGCTCAGAAGAAAGAGAGATGGTACAAACAGATCCTCTGGCATTAATAGTGTGAAGTGCAGCCACATAACAAAGCCCTGGGAGAGCACTGCTGACATGGGATCCTTCAGCGGCTGCTGAGCAATGTACCAAGCAGCTGATGTGCCACTCCCAGGGGACCTGGAGAAGTGGCTTCTCATTTGCACTCCCTTGTATCACTGGAAACTGTTGTGCTGTAAATGGTATCCTACAAAGCAAAATGTAAGACAGACCTAAAGGAACCTATTGGAGAAGATAGAAGCGGCTCTGAAGCCTCCCTGGAGAGAAAACAGAGTGGTCAATTCTTGAGAACTATTAGAGAATCTCTGTCCCTGAGAAATACAGCTTTAAGATAATTTGATAAAAATGGTTTCTGCCTGAAATGAGGCTGCATTTAGTGACAGATGTTTAAAATTCAAAAGGTTGGTCTTCCTCATAAATAACTGAAAGGGGACAGTGAGACTCCCTTAATGGTTTTCCCTGAGATGTGAACAGTGTAATTTATAAGGAATATTTTAAAATGTTCACCTGCCTCCATATCAGATCTTTCTCACTGACTGGAATACTTTCCTTCCTCTCAGGGTGATCCTGGTCCCATAGGACCACAGGGCCCTCGAGGACTCCGAGGGCAGCCGGTAAGTTTTTTCTTCTGACAAGTCATTTCTGGGGGTACATTATAGTTCGTGGAATGGTTTGGGTTGGAAGGGACCTTAAAGATAATTTAGTTCCAATATGCTGCCCTGGGTAGGGACAACTTCTACTCGACCAGGTTGCTCAGAGCCCCATCTAGCCTGGGCTTGAACACTTCCAGAGCATGGTGTCCATACATTGTGTGTAGAGGGGATGTTCTGCATTCCAGAACTCTGATTTGAAGGAATAGTTTTCAGGAAGACTCAGATGATGTTTAATTAAAACCCTTTTCTTACTTTGAGAAAGACAAATAAGAATGATATTGCTAGAAACTGATAAAGACAGAATGTTGCAATGTCAGATGGTTGCTGACTCAGTGGGAAAAAGAGTTTAATGGATTCTGTCAGGATTTCAGTGTCAGAAATGCTCATTTTCCAGTCCTGCCTCTAGAATCTCACTCGCTCCTCACATGATCTCAGTTTTCAAAGACAGACACTAACTGTGGGTGCCTAGGTTGAGGTATATGGGGTTCAGCTGTGATGCTTTTCACCCGCACAGTTTTATTATGACTTCAGCGGAGAAATGGCAATTCAGTTGACATTTCAAAAAGTGCCATTTAGGATGGCTCAGAAATTACTTTTATTAATTTAATGGGGTTTAAAATTTGGTTTTTAAAATGAACCTGTCTCAAATTTGAATGGAGGTCTCTGTTGCTGAACCTCGGCACATCTTTAATGTGATGCAATGAGTAAGTTCTTTTTGTGAGACCTGATAGATAAACAGATCCTACAACATGTTCTATAATCAGGGCAAAATGCTGATTCAGCCAGCAATGCCAGGAGCTGGAGTGGCAGGTCCCTCCAACCTGGGAGGGTTGGGGCTTAGATTAGACTGCAGGAACATATGGAAGGCTCCTGTGTTTACCTTGTAATTCATCTCATTATTCCTGTACTGCTGGCATCACTCACTAACATGTCATGCCCCTGCACAACACTGACCATGAGTAAAAATATTTGAAGAGATAAAATTTATCATAACTCTTTGGAGAAGAGATACTTGAGGGTATGTATGTTGGAAGGTAAAGTATCAGTTTCTCTTGTTCTCCCTCTGCTTTGTTTCTTCTCTAACAAGGACTGTGAGTCATGATTTTCAATATTGCCGGTACAAGGGCTAGTCTTTATGGTCAACTCCAATGCAGGGGAAAACCACCTCTGCACAATAAGTAATGTAGAACATCTCATCAAACTTCTGTCTGTGTAGATGATTAGCTCAGCTCCTTTGTTAAGGAACAGTGAGAAACAGGTCCTTTTAAAGGCTCATTCTGAATTGTCTGGTGTCAGGTAAGTATCAAACACTTCAAGGCCTTAGAATAAATGTTTCTCTCCATTTCCCAAAAAAGGGGAAGCCTGAGACGATAAAAAAGCCTTTTCTGAACACTGGTGATTTGGAGCAGCCGTGGTAGGTGGCCTCATCCATCCTGGAGGATGTTATTTACATATGATAGGGACAAGGGTGGAGGAAAAGAGGAGAAGTGCTGGTTTACTCCTCCTCAGACAAGAGAATTTGGGTCCAAGTTTCAATTTTTTTTCCTGAGATGGGATCAGACATATGAAATCAAGGATGCAGAAGTTGTGGGATCAGTTGCAAATAAGATACTCCACAGTCTGTCAGGAGAGGAGATTGAACAGTGCTAAAGAAATCCCTGCTGGTCTAGGTGGATATTTTTAATACATTATGTCACTAACCTTTTTCCTTTTGGCACAGGGCAAGAATGGATTGCCTGGATCTGCAGGAGAACCTGGCCCGGCAGGTATCCCAGTAAGTACCACAAAAGGAAGCTCATGCAGCAAGGAAAGGTGACTGAGGAAGCATAGCTGGAGTGGATTATGTGTAGTTGGTTATCATTCCTGAAGTTTCCATGTTTTAAGATCACTGATCCAAAAACCACTTTACTGGCCATGACTTTGGAGAGAGTTTGGCTACGTTCCTGGAATTGAGATTCTAACTGGGTCATCATTTTTTCCAGTGAAAGTTAAGTGTTCACAGCAAAAAGGAAATGACTGATTACCTGGTATGGAAAGGAGATTGGCATGCCCCATCTTCACCAGTAGATTTAATTTTGCCAAGCAGAGAGCGTGCAGACTGCAGAGAGTTGTCAAAAGGAAGGAAAGGACCTCGGGGAGCTGGCAGGCTGCCATCGAGGAACAGCAGCAGCAGAAAAATCCTCCCCAGGCACTTGGGGAACGAGCAGACAGCGGGCAGTAAACCAAGATCATGAAGCAGAATGAAACTCCCCTGAGGCCATCCTGTGGGGAAGAACAGCTTGGTAATGAAGGGCTGTAAGGAGGACAGTGAGGAGCTGGTGGTTTGTTTCGTTTGTTTTGTTTTCTTTTTTTTTTTACTCTGCTCTGCTGCTGAAAACTGTCCAGAATTCATCAAATCCATGCAAATATACCTTTGTGCCCAGTAGAATATATCGCAATGCAGGGCTCTTCCCTCTCTTTGCTCATGGAGACAGTACAGTTTGCTGGACTGCTGGATTCAGAGGGAAAAAAAGTCCAGAGCAGGAGGAATCTGAAAAATTGCAGCAGGATTTCACTCTCTGTGGGCCTTGCAGTGTCATAAAGTCACCTCAGCCTCTCCACAGACTTGTGCCCTGATCAGTCATTGCTTTGCTGCAGGGATGTCTCAGAAAAGCAAATGTCACTTTTCTGTGTGGGGAGGGGGTAACTCCCAGGTTACAGGTGGCACAGGTATGGTGCAGTCTCACAGCCTTTCTGGATCAAAAAAATAAGTGCCACCACTTTTTCCTCCTTGACATAAGTTCTTCTTACCTTCCTGGAACTGCTGCCATTGCTTCTTACCCTGTGGTTCGTCACTGTTGCTTTTTCAAACTTCTTTTCTTCTCTTCATTTCACTCAGCCCTGTTCCCAACTCCTATCACTGCCGTCTTTACTTTCTGGGTCTTCACCAGATCGCTGTGGCTTTGGGATGCCTTGTAAATACCAAATGGGGATTATTTTTTAATCATCATAGTGTTATCACATTACCTAGACCATCAGCAAGTGACCCAGGGACTCACCAGGCAGCTTCCTGCACAAACACAGCACCACAGCAGCCTCTGCTCCAGAGGATTTAGAGTCCAAAAATAACATAGGAGATTGAAAAAGGATAAAGTCAGATGGATGAGAAAGGGGAAACAATGAGACAGTGTTGGTCAGCAGAACAGACAGTCATCTCATCAGTATCCTTCTCTGTCATTAAAGTGAATCCTCTCCCTTTCATAAAGGTTATTATGGGAAGTATTTCCTTGTGCTGTACATGAATCCATTTATTTTGAAAAGCACTAATTTCTTTCACAATGTGGTGTGACAAGCCAATATTTTATACTTCTATTTTGAGGAAAAGGAGATGTGAGAAAGGTTATTACGGCAATAAGGGGGGGGGTGGTTTCCACCTTCACCACTGCTGACTTGTAATCAAAAGGTAAAACTTGCCAGGAGCCTTCTCCTTTTGCAGCTGCTGTTTGACAGTGCTCATCCCAATTCACAGTGCTCGTGCTTAAGCCTGCACACAGCAACACAGCCCAGCCCCTCAAGTCTCCAGGGCTAGTTGCATAAACAAAATCCATGTGCTTTGTGCCTACCAGGCTAGTTGGTACTCACTCTACACAAGTTTTACTGTAAGAAGAAAAATGGCTATGTTCTGAATTAAGAGACAGAGGACAAAGTTGTAAAAGAAAAGGTTAAAATAAGAGTTAAAACCATATAAGAAGGTTGCGTGAAATGGTTCTGTATCATGAACTGCCATTTAAACTGCCCTGATCAATAAGGAAAAAGGATAGTTTGACAGAATATCACAAGAGATAAGTGAAAGGCAAATATTTTATAAATTTAACCTGGAAATATTGGCAAAAGAGCAGCTCTGTATCTGTCTGTTGTATTCTCGGATTTGAGCAGTATGACCACCTGCACTGTTTCCCTGTCATCACCCATCACAGCATTTCCGGTCTCAACACCCCTTATAAACCATACGACATCAGAACAACCACGGAACACACCTCCTGTCCCTACCATAATTGTCCCTTCCTTTTCATCTTCTCCCAGGGACCCTGCATAGATTATTAATAATGCAACCACGGTATTTGAAACCTGCTTTTCTAAATTACTTTGCTCTTCCTTTCCTTGTCAGTTTTAGCAGTCCTGCTGCTACAGTGAAATTTCCCAGTTCCAGTGTATCTGTAAATGCATGCTCTAGAAAAGAGATGTTGCAGATAGGGCTGCTAGTGTCTGTCTCATTTCTTCCTAAGGGTCCCAAAGGAAATAAAGGAGAAACAGGCAGCCCAGGACTCCCTGGCTTCATAGGACCCCGAGGACCACCTGTAAGTATATGTAGGAATGTATTAGACCCTCTTGTTACCTGCTTTTAAATATTAGCCTGGTAAAGATGGGACACAGTCACCTTCAATTAGGTAAAAAAACATAAGCAGGAGATCTGAAAAATCCAGAAGCCATATAATTTCGCTTCCAAAGGAAATTGGACTGTAAAAATACCATTTTTCATATGGATGAATATCCAAAATCTCATTTATGGAGCTGGTACTTTTCAGTCAGAAAATGTGTGCATTAATCAAACTGGTTCAATAGTCTTCCTAATATGGGTATGAGGTATTTAAGTTCTCAGACTATATCTCTGCAGGAACCCCACGTGGACTAAATAGGGAAATTGTGAGTGATAATAATACAGGTGTTTCTGATATTTGCTGTTCCAAGGAAAATTCCTTTGTTGCCGGCAACAGAGGTATATTGTAATTAAAGCACTAATATATCTCCCAAAGTGATCTAAAATAATACCTATGCACATGAAAAGACCACAGCCTCAAAAATCCACTATCTTTAGCCCTTCCGAGGCAAGTAAAACATGTTAAATTCCATTGGAAGGATGGAGAAGGTGAATGTTAGGCAAATATTTCTGTTTCTCGATTTGTTGGGTTAAAAATAGGATATAAAAGATGTGACTCTAGCAGAGCTGAATATTCCAGAGGGTGTTTCTTTTTCCTTCTGTATTTTTTTTTATATTTTATTTTATTTTATAATTTGAAAGGGAGTTGTGTGATGAAAAGAGGAGAAAGAAATATTTCGCTGGAAAGTTAATTTAAAGCAGCAAACATGGTTGTCATTTAAAACTGGTGGCCATAAGGAATGCCCGAGTGTGTCTGATGCTGCCTAATTAGGAGCTGATGGGATCAGGCATCTGTAATTAGTTCCATTACTCATGGATATGTGTATATCTCTAGCAGTGCCCAAGATGTATGTTTCCAGGTTATGGGGAAAATACCACCTGCATACACATGTTATAGATATGATTATGTCTGTTGGTTGAAAATGGGCTACAAAGATGAATCTTTCCGTTCATGATATGAGAAAGTGAGCAGAATTTCAACAATAACTAGATTAAAGTTTGCTTTGGTTTATCTGCCCTTTAGGACTGCAGTGACATTTTTTCATTGAAATGGTAAAGTGCAAAATGTACTGTCTAATTATCAGACTATAAATGCAGGGAAAATAATTTGAGAAATACAGAGAAAAAATTCTAATAGGGTGCTTATTCAAATTTAGATTATTTAATGTAGTTCTGAAAGAAAAGCAAGATATCAGGCTTGAACTTCATTTATCACTGGCTCTGTATGTGTTGTTTCAGCTGGTAGAGTACAAGATGGTAGTTCTACCTACAAAATTTACTTGACTTACATCTTTGGAATGTTATGAGTATGATACTGGTTACTGGATACTTAGGTTAAACCAGAGCTTATGAAGTGCATGAAGTTTTATGAAGTGTTCGTAAGAAAAAGGAACAAAATTTATTTAAAGCAGGAACATACTTTTGGTGAAACATCTGTCCTGCTCTCAACTGGTTTGTTAGAAATTATTTCCTGTTATTCACATTTACATGGGATGCAACATTACTAAAAAATGCTTTCTAAATAGGATGTGTTTTGCCAGGCATGACAAATAGCAGCATGTTAAGGATAAATCAATCCAAACCTGCTGCTGTGCAGAATACTTGTGTTTTTAACAGAAAACAAGGTTTAATGTTATTAGGTAGAGTCTTTCTTCCGACTCCTTCCAGTGCACTGCTAAATGAACTTTCTGTGTGTCTTAGGGAGAACCAGGAGAGAAGGGTCCTCCTGGAAAAGAGGTAAGTTAAATTTCCAGTTGTTTCAAAATAAGATTGGTGTCCTGGGAAAAAACATCAAGGATGTCATCTGGGTCTCAATAAACTGATTTTTTTTATACAATGCTTTGGGTTGGAAGGGATCTTAAAGATCATCAAGTACCAACCCCTGCCATGGGCAGGGACACCTTCCACTAGACCAGGTTGCTCAGAACCCTGTCCCACCTGACCTTGAACACTTTGAGGGATGAGGCATCCACAGCTTCTCTGGGCAACCCGTGTCAGGGCCTCACCACCCTCACAGTGAAGAATTTCTTCCTAATATCCTGCAGTCTTTCATTGTGAAGCCATTACTCATCATTCTGTCACTACAGTCCCTGGAAAAAGGTTTGTCCCCATCTTTCTTATAACCCCCCAGAGCCTTCTCTTCTCCAGGCTGAAAAATCCCAGCTTTCCCAGCCTGTCTCCATGGCAGAGGTGCACCAGCCCTCTGGGCATCTTCGTGGCCTCCTATGGACTTACTCCAACAGGTTCATGTCATTCTCATGTTGATGACACCAGAGCTGGACACACTACCCCAGGTGGGGTCTCACCAGAGAGGAGTACAGGGGGAGAATCACCTCCCTTGACCTGCTTGTCATGCTTCTTTTTTTTTTTTTGAATTGTTGATAATTGAGAGCCAATGGGGAGCTCTCAGGAAACTGTGGGACCATCAGGGAAATAAATTTTCATCAGCTCACAAGAATCATTGTAAAAGTATGTGTTTTATTATTTACTGTTATTATGGAGAGATCTTTTATGTTTACCTTTATTTTGTTGCAGGGTGCACCAGGGAAACATGGTGAAATTGGCTCCAAAGGAGAGAGGGTAGGTTGGAGAATATTATTAGTTATTTCATTATGTTGAAATAAAAAGAGCTGTTTTTAGTTAGGGGCAGGGGGGTAGGTGTCATTCAAGAGTGAAACATGGCCTGTGCTTCCCACTCTCCCAGCTCTCTCTTTAATCATTTTCCATCACTAATAATTTGTGGATCATTTGTAGTGCACCAGATGTTGTATTCAGTAACTTTGCCAGCTCAGCTCTTAGTGTTTCTCTGTGTTTGGAAATCAGAATTTTGCCTCTTATTTTGTGGTGGTAATGCCTCTCTTTTCACTTAGGGTGAGCCTGGAATCAAAGGTGAAAAAGGCCCTCAAGGAGAAAAAGGCCCTCCGGGTGATCCTGGGATACCTGGTCACAAGGGCCATCCAGGACTGATGGGTCCCCATGGACCCCCAGGAGACACTGGGCAAGTTGGACCTCCTGGTCCTCCAGGACAGCCAGGATTTCCTGGACCGAGGGTAAGGTTTCCAGAGAATGGCTTTGTACAGTAATTTCACTGCCACAGTATGTGATCAGAAATGCACCTCAGATTACACTGGGGCTGACAGAAACTAGAGCAAGAGTGTGTTGCAATGGGGAGGCAGAGCTTTTATCTCTTGATGCACATTAAGTAGATCTATAGCACATCTCAGGGAATCACAGAATGGTTTGGGTTGAAAGACCAACTCATTCCAACCCCCTACCGTGGGCAGGGACAGCTTCCACTAACCCAGGTTGCTCAGGACCCCATGGGGAAGTGTTGTGGGGGTGTTGAATTGTGCTCAGGGGAGCTGAGCAGTCCAGAACCATAGCCAGGGCAGCCAGTCACTGATGTCTCTTACCCCTGAATGCCTAAATCAGATCTGTGACTGTGGTCATGGCACTGGAGTCTGAAAAAATTCTTTCTATAAGGGCAATAATGTGCAGCATTTCATATGGAGAACTAATGCCTTCCTCTGCTCCTGGTTGTTAGGAGAGACAAAATGCTGAGCTGTGGAAAGGTCACCGCTCTATTCCTGGAAATCCTGGAGCCAGCTCATCAGAATTCATGAAATACTATTTTTGTTTAATATTCTGTCTCTTTTTTTTTTTCTTTTTTTTTTCCCCCTAACGGGAAACAATCTCACTACTGAGAATCCTGAGAGTGCTGCATGTAACAGATATGAAAAAAACTACCAATATCAATGAAACCACTATGCCCATCCTCAGGATGAATTTGAGGTCACATCAGAATAGAATAAACAGAGAAGTAATCTCTGATGTAAAAGCTGAGTAAATTTTAGACAAAGCATTTCTTTGTGTATCTCAACATCTCAGAGATTTGATGAGATTAAGTAATGATTATGGAGACAATGCAACTAATAGGGTTACAACTTGAAAATATAATTTGTAAACCTTCAAAGTATGCTCCACAATTGTGTTTACTTACTGGGGTATTCAGTAAGAGGCATCACAAATGGTTAGTACTTAATGAAAAAATTGTTTCTTTTGTCATCAAAGAACACCTCTTTTTCTCATGAAAAATCTTGGGAAGGAGGCAGCAAATAGACAACTCTGTGCTTATCAGCAGTAACTTTTTTATTGATTAAACTGAAATATTACTTAGCTATTTAATAAAATCTCAATTTTTTTTAAATGAAGAGTAACTTCTGGTTCAGAAGATCTCACTAGGTTTTCATAAGCATAAAGGACACAAACTGCATCCTTGTATGTTAAAAGGATAAGTGTGTGGGAAAAGCAACACTTTAACGCAAGTAGCTCATAGACAAAAGAATGCAGTCTTTAGGTTGACCGAAGTATTTTCCAAACTAACAGAAATTCCAAGAATAATTTTAGCCAAAAAAATTAAAAGTGTATTTCAAGTCTCACTTTCTGATTTACAAAGGAAACATTTGATCTTGTAGCTTGAAAATGGTTTATTTCTAAATATAGCTATTTTTTTTTGAGTTTATACAAGGACAAGAGACTGGTTACCCCAGAACCTCTCTTCTTTTTTTTTTTTTTAATTTACTTGGAAAGCCACAACCTAAAAAATTCTCCTTTCTCCTACCAAAAATCCTTTCATCATTTTTCAGTTGCATCATCCAGACTTTTTTTCATATAATTTTGAGTTTTGACAGTTATTACAGCTGTACAACAGCAGTGTCACACAAAAGAGCTGAGAGAAGAGATGAAAGATGCTGTGCCTTAGGGGCTGAGCAGGGGGCCAAGGCCAGGAAGCCACATTCCCTCTCTCTCTTTAAGAGGCTGAAATCAGGCAGAACCTCGTACTGGTTTGGAAAAAAAGGTATCATATGCATAAACTGGCTTCTGTTCCCTGAGATAAGGCCTGTTGGCAGGTGATGCATCCAGTAGGAGTGTTTTTAACAAGTCCAGATACCCACTGTTACTATCCTTGGGGCACATGTGCATCTCTCTGCAAGGAAACATGCCATGATGGAAAAGAGGGTGGGATCTCCACTGTGATCTGGCAGGGCTGAGGATGTCTCCTGATTTGATTTCTACTACTTGCCCTATGAGTGTATAGGAAGGAGGAAGGAGATTTTCTCTAGGAAGGAGATGGGAAAACTGTTCCAACTATCCCCTCAGACCAGGATCCCTGCTTACACTGTTGATCCCATGGTTTGCCAGCAGGTTGGAAATTGTGGGTGCCTTTGACACCATCTCCCATGGTATACTCCTGGAAAAGCTGGTAGCCCATGGCTTGGACAGGGGCACTCTCTGCTGGGTTAAGAACTGACTGGATGGCCGGGCCATAACCAGTGGCAGGAGCTTCAACAAGACCAAGTGCTGAGTCCTACTACACTTTGACCACAACAACACCCTGCAGTGCTACAGGCTGGGAGCAGAGTGGTTGAAAGTGATCCAGTGGAAAAGGACCTGAGGGTGCTGGTGGACAGTGGCTGAACACGAACCAGCGAGTGCCCAGGTGGGCTGTATCAGGAATAGTGTGTCCAGCAGGACCAGGGAAGTGACTCTTCCCCTGTACTCGGCACTGATGAGGCCACACCTCAAGTACAGTGTCCAGTTCTGGACCCCTCAATTCAGGAAGGACACTGAGATGCTTGAGCTGGTCCAGAGGAAGACAGTGAAGCTGGTGAAGGGTCTGGAGCACATATCCTGTGAGGAGTGGCTGAGGGAGCTGGGGTTCAGACTGGAGAAGAGGAGGCTCAGGGGGGACCTTATCACTCTCTACAACTGCTTGAAAACAGGTTGTAGCCAGGTGGGGAGGTGAGGCTCAGCCTCTCCTCCTAGGAAACCAGTGACAGGACAAGAGGACATAGTTTTAAGCTGTGCCAGGGAAGGTTTAGGTTGGACAGTAGGAAGAATTTTTTTCACAGAGAGGGTGATTAGATATTGGAATGGGCTGCTCAGAGAAGCGATGGTGTTTAAGGAAAGGCTAGGCATGGCACTTAGTGCCATGGTCTAGTTGACATGGTGATATTCAGTCAAAGGTTGGACTCAATGATCTCAGAGGTCTTTTCCAGCCTACTTGATTCTGTGATTCTATTTTGAGTCCCTTTATATTCATATATATATATTCATTCAGACAGACCCTGCAGCCCTGTGTATGCTGTGGGTGATGAAATGCCATGTGCTAAACCCTCTGTGGAGCGTTTAGTTTGCACATCATAGAACCACAGAATGTTTTGGGTTGGAAGGGACCTTAAAGATCATCTGGTTCCAACAGCCTCTACATGGGCAGGGATGCCACTCACTAGATCAGGTTGCTCCAAACCCCACCCAACCTGTCCTTGAACACCTCCAGGAATGAGGCCTCCACAGGCTCTCTGGGCAGCCTGTTCCAGTGCCTCACCACCCTCACAGTAAAGAATTTATTCCTAACATCATATCTAAATTATTCCTCTTTTACTATTTTATTTTATTCCTAACATCATATCTAAATCATTCCTCTTTTATCTTTTATCTATCTTTTATCTAAATCATTCCTCTTTTAAACCATTCTCCCTTATCCTATCACTATCTGATCCCCTTGGTGTGATTATCATGTCTTATTGCTGCAATTCTGACTCTTTAGGGGGAACCCCCATCTCTAGAGACTTTGAGAAGGCTCATCCAAGAGGAGTTATCCAAGCAGCTAGATGGTAAGTAATCACTTCTGAAAAGCCAGGAGGTGTATCTGAGAGTACAAAATATGCTTTCCATACCTGTACTGGCACCTGAATATCTCCTGCTTATGGAAGGTAATATTGTAACAGGCTTGCCTGGAAGGAGAAGTGTGTAAAATGAAACGTGCTTTACTGGTCCCCAAGCTTTGATGTTCCCAGCAATAGCACAGAAAGTAATTAAAGTAGGATGTAAACCTGCTTTTGAGGTCCCAGCTGGAGAAGAAATGTTCCTGATTTCTGCCTGACATTTGATACTCGTTGGTATGAGGAGAGACTGGAGTGGATGTGGGCTGCTGTTTCTCTCAAAGTATGTCAAACCGCTACTGACCCCATCAACACTGAGATGCAGAGCTGTAGTGCTTCTCACACAGCTCTTGAAGCAGCTGACACACAGCTGCAGGCATTCTCCTCCATGCTAAAGATCGATTCAATGTAGTAATCTATTTCATGGATTTTATTTATACACTCTCAGACTTCAATATCCATGCCAATCTAAAAGCATTTGAGATTTAGGACCAATGAAGAGAAGATAGAAAACTCCATTCTGTAGGATGTTTATGTGATGCTGAATATATCTTAAGAGCTCTCTAGGTTGTTTTCATGGTATAATCCCAGCCAGCAACCAGGCCCCACGCAGCTATTTACTCACTCCCCCACCAGCAGGATCAAGGAGAGAGTTGGAAGGGTAAAAGCTGGAAAACACGTGGGTTAAGATAAAGACAGTTTAATAAGCAAAGCAAAAGTTGCAGACACAAGTAAAACAAAACAAGAAATTCATTCACCACTTTCCATGGGCAGGCAGGTGTTCAGCCATCTGCAGAAGAGCAGGGCCCCATTGTGAGTAACGGTGACTTGGGAAAACAAATGCCATCACTCGAAACATCTCCTGTCTTCCTCTTTCCTCCTCCCATTTTATGTACTGAGCATGATGCCATATGGTCTGGAATATCCCTTTAGTTAGTCTGGATCACCTATCCCAGCTGTGTCTCCTCCCAGCCTCTCACCCACCCCCAACTTCCTTGCCAGTGTGGCAGTAAAGAAAGCAGGAAAGGCCTTGGCTCTGTGTAAGCACTGCTCAGCTATAACAAAAAAACCCTCTATATTATCAACCCTGTGTTCAGCACAAATCCAAAACCTACTCCCATACCAGTAACTGTAAAGAAAATTAACTCTACCCCAGCCAAAACCAGCACAGTCATTCAGGGTCCTAGCACTGAAGTGGCAAGCAATGTGCCTGCTTGGAAATTGCAGAATACACTGTCACAGGAAGCTTAGTTACAGCTTCTGACTTCACAGCCAGAGATGGGTACATCAGCTTTAACTCCACATATGTAACAGCCCAAAACAAGAAAAGTCAGCTTTCTCCCTACACACCAGCTATGTAGCATCTCACTCCATGTAACAGAAGCAGTGGAAAAAGGCTCTTATTTTTAAAGCTGCAATGATCACATTTTCATAGATAAAGAAAGATGGAGGAGAAGAAGTAGAGGAAGACAGAAAAATTTAGGACAAAGTATGAAATCTAGGAGAAATTTAAAGCTATTGAGAAATGAGATTTCAGTAACTTAGAGAGGACCAGGGGGGGCACAATCATGGATTATGGGAAACGACTGTGTGGGGTAAACAAATAAGTGGCCCTTGAAAATTGTAGCAATACTTGGACTTTTCTGGGCCCCTGGTTCTGGCTCTCCATCTCTTGGAGCATAGTTCTTTTAGTCTAACAAACCCATTTCCCTCTCTTTACAGCAAAGTTAACCTATCTCCTGGCTCAGATACAGCCTGCACAGGTAAAAGCATCCCATGGCAGACCAGGACCTCCTGGTCCCCCTGGGAAGGAAGGACTCCCAGGAAGAACTGGCCCTCCCGGAGAGCCTGGCCGACCTGGACAGACTGGGTCTGAAGGGCCACCTGGACCAATTGGTCCCAAAGGTGAGTGAAACTTGGTGTGTTGGGGCAGTCCAATAAAAGTGTGTCCACTCCCCTTTGTCATCCCACTCTCCTTTTAGTAGCATATAAGTAAGCCCTCAAAATGCAGGTGTTAAAGTGACCTCAGTCTGTTGAACCAGGTGTTGAATATGACTAGCAGTCACTGGTATGTTCCACCTCTGGCCAGAGCTGGAGTGGGGCAAGTCTTAATTCCCACTTAATGTCCAGTCTTGGAGGATTGACCACAATTAGGAACTTTTTTTGCCAAATGTACTGGCTTCAGTGTGGATGAAAGACCTATAGTACTATTCTATAGTTCTGTAGACAACTCTCATCAGTTCATTATTTTTCTTTCCCTCTCTACAGGAGAAAGAGGAGCAAAGGGGGATAAAGGAGACACTGGCATTGGCCAACGAGGGGAAATAGGTCCTCCAGGAATTCCAGGTGTGTTATTCAGAGCACCCCTCAACACACATCACTCAGAACCATTTCAAGGATGCAGGTCTCTGCCATATTAGATAGACAATCAGGATAACATAAATACAGCATACGTGGTTTCTGTAGAAAGTGGCTCAAAGGGAAGAACTACATCACTAGCATCATATCTGGCCACCTTTTATTTACTCAAACTGATGGACAGGTATAATGATCCGTCTCAGTTACAGCTAAGTTAATGGACCTTTGGGTCAAATCCAAAGTGAAGCTTTAATTATTAGATACCCTGTGAAGTGCCTTCTCTGTCCTTGGCAGAGTGTTGTTGTGACCAAGCTGAATCCAGAGATTCAGGCAGCTTCAGATGTTACAAAAGGTCATATTGAGCACCTGTGCCTTGGACATACAGCTCCTGCTTTTCTATTACTGACAAAGCATCAGCAAATATAGTTTGTTTGCAATCTGAAATTAGGAGTCATTGATCAGTTTTGCCTTCACTTGCTTTCTTGGGGAAGAAATTATGGGAATCCTTTGTAACCCCATGGTTTGCATTTGGCATACTGGCCCTGCATTTCCTTCAAATACCAATGGATCCACTGTGCTTCAAATGAGTTATCTCCCCAAGCCACCTCTCGCCTCCAGCTTTCCCATCCTCACCTCCTCTCTGAGAGGATTATACAACATGAGTTGTCTCCTGCAGCTTCACATCTTCAGTGTGGTGATAAAGGCAGAGTAGCCACAGCAGAGCTCTGCACCCCAAGGATGCCATGGGGAGTGGAAATCTTTCCTTCAGAGACACACTGGTCACATCCTTGAGATACCTCCTAGCCAAACCCAAATCTGTGGGAGCTGATGCCTACATCCCAGTTTGGCAGCAAAGCCATGCCCTGTGACATTGCACTGCTGAGTACTGCATCCCGGGGGTGTCACTCACCAAGGGCATTTTGTTTCTGTTTTAGGCCTCCCAGGGGAGCCTGGTTATGCCAAAGACGGGATGCCAGGACCACCTGGCCCTCAAGGGGAAGCTGGTGTGCCCGGTCCCGCGGGAGCACAGGGGCCTCCGGGAGCCAATGGACAGTGTGACCCCTCTCAGTGTGCTTACTATGCAAGCCTGGCTGCCCGACCCAGCAATGTCAAAGGGCCCTAGCACACAGGGAGCACCTGCAGACTTGTTTCTAAAACTTGAATTCATCACACCTGCCAAGAGCTCTCAGATGTCTTCAACTGTGTTTCTTTTGTGGGAGGCCTTCTAAAGCCAACAAATGCTGCCGGTCGGTCAGATTATTTTTATGAATTATTATTATTATTATCTTTGATGTGATATGTGAACTTATTTTTTTTTTCTCCAACATCAGGGCATATTAAAACATTACAAATAAGTGGTTTTTTTCCTCTTTTCAAGAGCATATAATATCAATGCATTGTGTAGCTGTTTACGCAAAACCATTCCAATGCCAAATTTTTTCTCTGTTATTTGATTAATTATTTCCAAAGCTTTATCCCACACCCTTTAAACTGAAATCAAATCCTAGAGCCTGGGGCATTAACTGTGAGATGCAGGCTGATCACAGGATTGTTGGTGCTATCTGCCATTCCCACAGAGGGGAGGAAGCTAGAGCCATGCCAAAGCTGGAAAACAGGTCTCCAGTACCTGCAACTCACAATGGAAAGGTAGTTTTGAACAGCCAGTGTATGTTTTCCAGAAGATCCCTGTTAAATTTAACATTCTTCTGCTGATAAGTGAATCTATATCCTATAGGATCTACTTTTTATGGAATCATGTGGGATCTCATAGTAAAGGCCTGAAGAGACCACAGAGATGACCCAACCTCTTTGCTACTCTCTGTGCAAGAAATTCTGTACTCAGAAAGTTTGATTCTAACAGATGGAGCTTACTTTCCTCTGTCAGGGAAATGCCTCTGCAAAAATCTTCGACACCGTCCTTTGTCAACTCAGAGATGTCAAATCCCATGTGTGTTGTCAGTGCATGCACAGCTCCCTACCACTGCTTCACCCAAAAATCAGCCAGAGCAGCACAGGAAGTCCTCTTGTATTAAAAACCTCAGGAAGTCAACTGTGACCCAACTGTTTTCCATGATCCACTATGACAATAACTTGGTAAGCTGTGTTAGTTAGAGGGTGGGTGAGTAGCTGCAGGCTGGTCTAGGAGGATGTTGATCTCTGACGAAAGGATCAGAGTAAAGAGGTATTCAGAAACATGGAGAAAATCATGTTTGAGGGCAAAACAACAAATCAAACACGGCCCTTTTCCCCTGTCAGCTGATTGCCAAAATCAACCTGAGAATGCAAAGACAGAGTAAAGAGGGCATAGAGTCTGAAAAGACCTTCACAAGAGGTCATTTGTGAGATAAACCTTCTAACCAAGAAGGTTTGCCCACCACAAAGTGCAGATTTGAGAGGTGATCAGGCCTGAATATCTGTTCCAGCCAGCAAAGCAGCTGCATTCTTAAACCCCTTCTGCACAAAGCAGTTTGTAGTGAGAGATCGGAGTAATGGACCTGACACAGGCACTAAGTGCTGACTGTGTTTGGGAATCTCATCTGCTCTTTTGGAGACAGAAAAGAGGCACCCTGCCCTGCTGACACATCTACCATATGGCATGGTGCTTCCAAACTGGCTAACCCAAGCAGAAGCCACAGCTGTTGATAACCAGCCCAGAAGCAGACCCTGAAGCTAAAGCCCAGAGATAAGAATTTGCCAGCCTTGGAGCCTTTTTCTCACCAGCAGCAGATAAAATTTTTCTCTGCATTACTGAAAAATGAAATTAAATAACATGTTCAAATGCCAGGGTTAAACAAAGTCTTTACTGTGTAGCTCTCAGTGGTGCTATTTTTGCTATTTCCTATTCAAATAAAGTCCTTGATTTGATTTTACTGTGTTTCTTGTTATGGAAAGACCAAAGAAAGGGAAAACATCATGAAGTGAAAAGCTTACCACTTTTAAGTAACTCTCAATGGTATATCTTTTACTATACTGCATCTTGGGTCAGCTTGCTATATTTTAGTATTAAGCAAATATGTTGATCACATATTTAAGAGAAACATTTTTCCTAGTCCAGGCTGAGCGAGATTTCCCTACTCAAAAACAGCTCCCTACTCAAGAGACACCTCCCAACATGGGATGAGACATCATTTTGGGTAAATGTGATGGCAGTGAGCAGGTGTTATGGAGGCCACACATCTTAATTGTGCCATGCTAATGTGGCATGTAATTCCTGTCATGATGGTGACTCCTTAGTCACTAAAGATTTTCTCTCATCATGTGTGTCTGCATGTGTCATGCATGAGATAGATTTCAATACATTTTGGTGCATCATGTGAAGGGAAGATACATAATGATGTTCTGTTAAAGAAATTTCAGGGTCTTTAAGTCTTGTGAGATCATAGAATAATTTTGTGTTGGAAAGGACCTTTAGGGGTCATTTAGTGCAATCCCCAGCAGGTGAGACGGTGCAAGGTCATCCAGCTGAAGGAGATCTAAGGGGTTGTTTTGAAAGCCCTTTTCATTTGAATGTCTGATGGAGCCATTTCCAAGAGTCTGCATTAGGAGCAAAAGGGACACGTCTGCTTGGGTTAGGCATAGATCACATCTCTGCAAATTCTCCACCCAGTAAAGGGGGCACAACCTAATTCCCTTTGCTCCAGCATATTCCCTAGCATATGGCTATCTGTTCAATCTGTTCCTGGAGACACCCCAGATTGTCTCCGTGTCCTGAATTCAGTGGGTGCCATTTCCCTGCTTTTTCTTGTTTTTTTTTTTCTTTTCCTTGTTTTCTCTCCAGCCAGTTAAATGACATTTACTAAGCAGAATCTGTCACTAATGAGCAGAGTACGAGACACGAGCTGCAGACCCAGATCAAGATTCATGTTTGTAGCCACACAGTTTTCAGGGCATAGTCATCAGAGGGAGGTTTCTAGAGCTGCCACCTCTTACAGAAGCAAGCCCTATGTGAATGTGCCTAAAAAGTCACCTGCAACAACAGGTAAGAGAGGGGGGTGTATTTGTAGGATTTCAAAAAGTGCCACAGTTTTTGCCTCAGTCATTTTGTGCATGTTTGCAGTCTTTGGAGAGGTGGCCTGAGATCATTTTCCAAATTAGGTCTGCCATATGGGCAGCAAGTACAGCCCTGGGCATGGTCAGAAGCTGCCCTCCAGAAGGTGCAGATGGGTCTGTGCCTGAGCAAGTGATGGTGTGTGTGTTGTCTGTCCAGCACTGTGTAAGGTGACCATACAGGCAGGGGGTGGCAGGTAGGGCAGAGATGGTGCTGATGGCTCTCTCTCCTGACTGCTCTTGAATAAGGGACAGCTGTGGCTTTGGCATGTTAGTGTTCCCATCTCTGCAACCAAGTGGTTGTCAAATCACCATAAGGTCTGCTCACTGAGTTTAAACCCAGGAATAGGTTAATTTTTTTTTGTTGGATTTTGATTTGTTCCTGTGGTAAGAGAGGATATACTGTTAAAATTGCATTAGAGAGCCAGGCAATATATTATTTACATTTTTAAAAGGTACACATGGGATTTATGGCATCACTGTCAGTTGCTGGCGTTTTTTTAATATATATATTGTGTGTAAATTATTACAATTATAAAAAACAGACCATTATGTTGTTCAATTTGTTGCCTGTCAAATAAATAAATTACAAAGACAGAACAAAGCAATCAGATCATTTGGGGAAAATACCTCTTTTTTTGTTAAATTATTTAAGAATTTCTACTTGTTTTCTAAACAGTTTTGAATTAGCTGCTTCTTGGAAGCTATATCAAATGCCTGTGTTGTTGTGTTTTTTGTGTGATTTTTTTGTTTGTTTGTTTGTTTGTTTTTCCAGAGAGACAATAAAAATACTGTAGCAGCTAAGCCCAAACTCTGTGCTCTGACCACAAAACTAGTGGGGAGACAAGCACAGATTTTACACTCTGGGCAATTAAAAAGATATTAAATATATATATATATATATATATATAAAATTATATTAAAAAAAAACCAAACCAAACAAACACAAAACAAAACAAAAAAAAAGTAAAATAGAGTTTACCAATGGCTCAGTCTTTTAATGTGGAAACTGGCCAAAGTCTGCTCTGATAAAGATTTCATTTTGGCATGAAATCCTTCTGGAGCAGGATCTGATGCCTATGCATAGCAGGCTATCACCATCCACAATACCTTTGAGCCAGAGACACTGACAGGGACTGGCAGGTGTGTAGGACCAAGGGATGCCTTTCCAGAGCTTAAGTGGGTGACCCCAGGGGATATTATGTATCATGTCAAATGATGTAAGTTTTTTTTTTGAATCCCATACCCAGTCTCTCACAGTAAGGTTCAGAGTCACAGAACATAGAACCATAGAATATATTTGTAAATGGTGAAGCTGAATTAAGAAAAAGCCTGCTTAGCTTCACTGATTGATTTAAACCTGAAAGTCACAAACATGGATTTTTGTCTTTTGACTTGTGAAATTGGAACAACTGATGAGAAAAGTATAAAGACATAATGAACAGGAGACTGGGTTTTGTAGCTGTTTTACAAAGCAGATTTTTGCTGTAAGGGCTGACATCTGAACACCTTGTGTGGCTTGACTCAACAATATTGATGCTGGCAAAGCTATTGGAGTTTGTCTGAACTAAGAATTAGAATATCCTGCTGGGTCTGCAGGGAATTATGTGTTGAAAATATGGTCTCTTTCTTGCTACTTTACATTTTATATCATGAACTTTATGTAGAAAGCACAAGGGAACAATTTGACAGAGGGACATTAATCATATTCTGACATTCCTGATGAGCCAGCTATCAGCATCAGGAAGAAGGATGTCCTGCAAGATGGAGCAGAGAAGAACCTGCCACCTTGGGTCAAACTCCAGGTGTAAAAAAGTGTAACAAGAGAACAGTGCCAAACATCACAAAAACTTCTTTTTGACCACAGCTTTGGCTCTGCATGACATACTGTCTGAAAGACTCAGGTTTGGATTTGAAGAGAAAAGTGTGTTTAAGCAGAAGGCAGCACACACAGCAATTTGGTTTATTTCACAGGACAGATGTATTTGACAATGTGTTCTTAGAAACACATTTTTCCCCCTAGCAATGTGGGGGATGGTTTTCATCCAAGTCTGACATTACTGTCAGTGCAATAACTTCTTCAGCACTTTCTTGATGAGAGTTAAGTTTAACACTGAGTCTTATTTTTATGGTTATTTGTGAGGTCTGTTAGGAAGCAACCTTCCCCTGCAAGTGAAAATCTCACTTTCTCTTGGCTGCTGTATTCATCTCTGATGTATGGATATTTCCAAGTTATTGTACCCATTTTTGCTTTTGAAAAATTATTAGACTTTCATGAGTTCTGCTGAATCTTTTTTGAGTAAAATCTACCCCTGTAAGTGTTCAAGGCCAAGTTGGATGGGACCCTGAGCAACCTGATCTCGTGGGTGGCATCCCTGCCCATGGCAAAGGAGTTGGAAGTAGATGATATTTAAGGTCCCTTCAA